TTGGATATTTCAAGCTATCAATTCTGTAAAATCAAATAATATAAGCTTAAAATATCATAGGTTTATACTTGCAGGCTGCAAATATATAAAGATGAGAAGATTTGAGTTTGTACAAAGTTTCTGAAAGTTTCTTTTTATTAAGTATAATACGGAAATGATAACCAATATTTTCAACCATTCTTTTTTTTGTTTTTTGTTTTGTCTTATTATTTATCTTCTGTCAGAGGAGAAATTAAACATTTTGTAAGAAAGGCAAACTTAACAAAGCACACAATTTTGAAATCATCGCAAATTTCTTTTAAAAATCAAAATCGACTCCAACCCTGGCTACTATGAACTCTAAACTGTTGACGGATCCTTTGACTTATAAAAATACTTCAACTCCTGTGTTTGATTGGTCAAAAAATATTTTTATTTAAAATGAATTTTTGTACGGTTGTGAACTTATTCTAAAAAAATATTTTGAAAGTAATCATTATAAACTGAAATGTGGAATTTGATTTGAAAATTTGTAGAAATATGTCTAGAATTTCAGTTTTCTACGGTATCAATTTTCATCCAGTCTGGCATTACCCCCCNTCCGGCCAACACCAACCTCACGCCGTTCCTGGAATGCAAATTCTCCGCTCACGAGTCATGTACGTGTACTCATATATGTACATTGTACCACATTTAGACGTTTACCGACCTATGTATTACAAAAATGACAAACTTAAATCATGTTTACAATGTATTTACAACGTTTACATAAAAGAATATTTGTATTTGTGCAGTTCAAATTGATAAGTATTGCATGTATCAAAGATTTACACAAATAAAAATTTGTACTAAATTCAGACAATCGCAACCTCACTTGGAGTCAAAGCCAACAAAAAAACTACAAATTGCAATTTTCAGATTTACAAAGAAAGAAAAATATTTAGATGAAACACTGTGTTTAACTCTATATTTACATTATTATTATTATCATATACATATTATTATCTATGTCTTCTCTATAGTTGACCTACTATGATTAACACGGTTCTCAGATCCTCCGATAATCCCACGATCAAACCCCTCCCTTCCCATCCCTTCAATGCTCAATCTCTCCTCTCCCCATCCCACCCTCACACTCCCCTCAACGCCCTCATCTCCTCCCTCCCTCTCCCTACCCTTTCTCCCTTCCTATCCTTCCCCCTCCCCCCTATACTTCCCCCCCCCTTCTTAAGTCGGTTTATAACTTTTCTTATCTCCCCTGTAATAAATTCTTTAATTGCTTTCCAACGCACGTATTTCCCTCTACAGCGCATCATCCAAGGAAGGAAATGCGATGTAAAAATGTTTAAGACCCTTAATATACACATATTTACGCATATTATAAAACCATGTTGGGGCCTTCAGACCAACTTTGCTCTTTAACGTCTGAGCTGCATATGGAGCTAATCCATAGCATGAAAGGTTCTCAGTTCCTCAGCTCCTTAGCTCAAAAATGTTCAGCTTCTTAATCTTTAGGTTCCTCAGTGCTGTACTGTTTATCACTCCATAGTTTCTAAGCTTTTTCCTTCAAAAATTGGCTCCTCATGCTTATTTGCTTCCAAAGATAAAAAATAAATTAATTCGCAGTTCTAGCTCCTGAACTTCTCCAAGCTCCTGCTCCCTAACTCATCTTATGATCTCTCAGCTATCAAGTTTTTCATCCCTATCAAGGTCCAATGCTCCTCTGCTCCTCTACTCCCCTGCTATCCTGCTATTCTGCTCTCTGGCTCCCCTGCTACCCTGCTCCGTTTCTCCCTTGCTCCCCTACTCTCTTGATATCCTGCTCCCTTGATATCCTGCTCCCCTGCTCTGTTTCTCCCTTGCTCCCCTGCTCCCTTCATATCGACCCTGCTCCCCTACTCCTCTGCTCCCCTGCTTCCCCCCTGTCTCAGTAAACATTACGCCTTACCCCTATCCTTGTTTAATCTAAAAGAAAATAGAAATGATGTTTTTCTAGATGTTTAACGAAGATCTTTAGATGGAGTTGAAACGAACCCCAGATTATGATTACAGCAGTTTTTGCTCCCAACGGAGGAGGGGGGGGAATGCGTTTTTATAGACAAGAGGGGGAAAGGAGGGAACATAGCCGACTCAGGCAAAATATCTCTATTCCCCAGTTTTTACTATTTTCTTTAGGCATCCATTGGAACGATTTTTGTTCATTAAATACGTCTCCCCTTTCCACTATAAATAAATTGAATTGATTCTTCACAGTAAAATCTTCAGTTTATATTTCAAGGTTTTTTAAGTGCGGAGAAAGGAATAAAAACAATTAAAAGAATAGAAACGGAATAGTGAAATAACGAATGAAAAAAAGAAGAAAAAAGTTTGACACGATAAGAACAACTAAATAAATCAGAAAGAAACTCTTTTAAAACTAAATTTCTGTGATTGTTTAAAATGAATCTTATATTACAAAAGTGATAAATACAAAGGAATTGACTCTTTGCCACAAACTCTGAATTTATAATCCTTATATCTTTGGAACCCAATGTCGTAAATCTTTGATATTTCAAACTTAGATTATTAGATCTAACAGAATTCATAGTCTGAAATATCTAAGGTCTGCGTCATTGGAATCCAAAGATATAAGGTTTAGAAAAGCAGAGTTTGTGGCAAAGACTCAATTCCTTTCCGATTTTTTCCCCAACCAAAATCGGTATTGGAAAATATACCCTGCACACTGCACAGTTTGCACAGGATCGAGCAATGATAATAGAAATTCATAAACCTTGCTACTTTAAATTCTTATTTAATTTTGATCACCTATTCTGTATTTTTTCCCGTATTGAAAAAATGCAATACTTAATTTACCTCTTATCTTATACTTATATTTTCATCTTAAATCTGAAATGAAAGAAATCTTTGAACACATCCTCTTGCTTTCCGGTTTCTCAACCCTTTCCCTTTTTTCTCCCTCCTTCTCTTCTCTTTCGTCTCAGATAATATGCTCCTCTTTCCTAGCTACGGGCCTGGTTATATATACTAGAATCATGGAAAAGTAAATGCTAAATTAAAACTTATTTTTTATTTATTTTATAGGGTACTTATTGTAAAAAGGGTTGTTACACGCTTCAATAACCTTTAATTTTATGAAGAATATCTTAAGTGAAGGGAGGGGTATATGGGGGTAAAGTGAATTTACTTTGAGATGGGGGTGGGGGGAGAATAGGAGAAGTGTGGAAAAGAAAGATGAGTAGGAAGGTTGAGGTAGTTTTCTGGTTTCCGAAAGAAACTATTGCTAATTTAATTCAAGGTTGAACGAAGGGGAGGTTTTACGATATTTTAGCAGAGACTAATTCCTCCCACTTTGATATTGTTCTTGAAATATGCTGGACTTCAGAACTACGAACCCTCCGGCGTTTAGTAAGGGGTAATATTAATAACAGGGTTACCCAGAAAGAATGGGACTTTATTAACAACATATTTAATATATTAAGTTCCTAATAATCTAAGGAATCAGGAGAATTCTGGATTACCGAGTCAGAGAACCCTTAACTGAACCTGGAGTTTCTTTGAAACCTCGCCCTGAATACCATGAGAACCTTCATTGTACTTAGGAAAGTTGGAGTATCTTGATAACCTCAGAGTACCTGGAGAACCCCAGAGTAACTAGAGACACTTTGGAGTATTTGGAGAACCTCAGAGTACCTGGGTAACCTCTAAGTATGTAATGAACCTCGGAGTATCTAAAGAACATCGGAGTGAATAGAAAACCTCGGAGTACATGGTTGGAACCTCAGAGTATCTAAAACCCACGGAGCACCTGGAAAACCTCGGAGTACCTAGAGAAGCTTGGAATACTTGGAGACCCTCGGAGTACCTAAAGAACTTCGGAGTACCCGGAGATACTCGGAATACTCTCAGAACCTCAGAGCACCTGAGGAACCTCGGAGTACCTGGAGACCTGGAATATTTGGAGAACCTCGGAGTTCATAGAAAACCTCTGGAGTATATAGAGAACCTCGGAGAAAAACCTGAAGAACCTTTGAGTATAACCTGAGGAACCTCGGAGTATAACCTGAAGAACCTCGGAGTATAACCTGAAGAACCTCGGAGTATAACCTGAAGAACCTCGGAGTATAGTCTGAAGAACCTCGGAGTATAAACTGAAGAACCTTGGATTATAACCTCAAGAACCTCGGAGTATAACCTGAAGAACCTCGGAGTATAACCTGAAGAACCTCGGAATATAACCTGAAGAACCTTGGATTATAACCTGAAGAACCTCGGAGTATAAACTAAAGAACCTTGGATTATAACCTGAAGAACCTTGGATAATAACCTGAAGAACCTCGGAATATAACCTGAGGAACCTCGGAGTATAACCTGAAGAACCTCGGAGTATAACCTGAAGAACCTCAGAGTATAGCCGGAAAAACCTTGGAGTATAAACTGAAGAACCTTGGATTATAACCTGAAGAACCCGGAGTAAAACCTGAAGAACCTCGGAGTATAACCTGAAGAACCTCAGAGTATAGCCGGAAAAACCTTGGAGTATATAACCTGAAGAACCTTTTAAGATTTGAAAAGTGTGAAAGCTTTGAGTTCTAGGAGGGGGGACTGCCCCCATACCCTCTCCCCTGCATATACGCTTGTTTATTTGTACTTTTGTTTAAGAGTTTTGTTTTAAATAATTTATTGCTTGCGTTCCTTGCGTACATATCTTTAAATCCTTGAAATCGGAATTTCCATTGAAATTCGCAAAAAAAAAGAATTTAAAAATGCATTTGTCTGGTAGTCTACTGTCTACACGTAATTATGTTAGGAGGGGATGGCTACATGAACCTTCAATTATAATTTTTACATGTTTAAATTGAGATCTTGTCTGGGATAAGATGATCTTTCAAGCATAGGGTTTCGTATCGGAAGTGGGGCGGGTTGGGGCGGTGCAGGGAGGAGCAAGTGCAACAGGAGGGGAAATGTCTATTTATTACGCTTTAGAGAGGATCGGTCTGCATGTTACTAGGGTCCATATACGCAACAGCTGGCCTACCAACTCTCCCATATTGATCTAAAATCTTCAAATCCTACCAAGTTGAGAGAGCTCAACTGAGAATCATAGAGAGCTGGAGAGAGCATGTTGGCTCACATCTGTAGACTAGGTTGCAATAGCTGTAGTTCAGCCAGAACAGTGCAAAACGCAGAGAGAGGTTTGCACAGCTTGTAATGTTCGGAGTTGCCGCTAGGGTGTGCTGAAGTAGTGTGGCGGCTTGACAGTTGCTCCGGACAGCTAGAAGCGGACTCACACACATGTAAACAATTCCAGATTGTACTTTGCAGTGAGTGTGTGTGTGTGTGACGATTTAGATTCAAAACCCGGAGAATAAAATGGTTCAAAAAGTTATATTTACCATTGACAAGTGATGTAGAAACAGTGACAGTAACTAGTAAGCCCCCTGAAGGCCTAAATTAGGAAAGTCGAAGGAATTTAAGAATTCTGAAATTCGTTCTAATCACTCCAATTAGAGCGAATTCTCTGTCTAAATCAGGTAAATTGAAGATTGATGTCTTTAAAAATTAATTTTCTAGAACTTTAACATGTTGGTGTGAATGGTTAATACTAATAAAAAGATGGATCAAATGTCAAATGTTTTTGACAGCTCAGATTTTAAATTTTTAAAACTTATAAATTATATAAATGTTGATTGACTGCCGGCCTTTTTACAATTTTAATTCATAATTTATTTTTAATCCAATATCAATCCGATTAATGAGTCTTTTTTTGTTGCCATATCTAAATACACGAATTTTTAATGAACATCGCAATGTTCTTTAAAAGAATGCCATTTGAACACTGAATGTCACATATTTCAATGATAATATAAAAGGACTTAATTATTTTGGGTCTGTCCTAGTGAACGATTTTTGGACCCCCCGAGCCCCCCNATAAATATTGTTGTATGGGATGGAAAAGGAGTGGGAGGGGGGGGGGAGGGAAGGGTTAAAGCTAGAATAGTACACCTAATTTGCACGGTTCCCGTTTAAAAATGTAAGTCTGTTTTGTTTTCTGAGTGAATATGCTCAAAGGTGACAAAGTGGAGAAAATAAAAAAGTTGAGTAAAGGGTTTGGGACATGGGAAAGAGAATCGTTCTCTAGGAATATACCATTATTTTGTATTCAAACGTATAATTTTCTGTGAAAGCATTTGTCAGATTAATTTTTCTTTATTAATTTGTATGAATTCTTTAATCATTAAAAATTATTATAAAACCACCTCTCATTGAAAAATCTACGCTGTTTATTCTCTAGATTTCATCATTCTATACGTATCTTAGATATTTCAAAATGAACGAGGTTTAGTGATTAAATATACTTTTATTTCAGTTTCGAGGTTGCGTGAATCTCTAAGCTAGTCCCTGACTCTACGCAGCATGTGTAAGTACTTGAATGTATAATTAAATCTTGTCTGGACGCTTTAGCCAAGCTTTTTTATGCAATACTGGTACCTACACCAGACAAAGAATACCCCCATTGCTGAAATAAGTTTTTATCCCCCACCAGGCATTTTTGAAATAGTTAAAGATATCAGAAATTTAAAATGAAATACTTTAATTGAATAGTAACATTATATAAAACATAATTTTTCCCGTTCAGACAACTTTTATTTATAACCTTCATTTTATGCTTTGAATGTCCTTCTCTATTTTACCCCTTGTATCCAAATTGACAAGTTGTTTCCAAAATAAAATGGAGACTGGAGAAAGTAGCGAGTTATAAAACACCCCAAATTACATTAATGATATCTAGCGTTAAATGTAGATTCAGAAGAAAATGTTTAGACTAAAATGTTTCGGATAAAATTTCCGAGTATTTACAAACATTTTAGGATTTGTACTTTGTAAAGCCTAGATACTGTAGGCTAGACTAAACTCGTGGAGGCTTGGGATCGGAGGGGGGAAGGGCTTAGTGGCAGGGACAGGGGGGGGGTATTGCAGAAAAGTACGAATCTGTCTCTTCAAATTTCGCAGATCTTAATACCCAACTTTTCCTAATCAACATATTTTTCAATGATATTTAAAACTAATTCACACAGTATTCCTTCCCCTCCTCTTACCCCTTCAGATATAAATACTCGTTCTTTAATCCTGCACAATCTTTAGACATATTTCTTTTCAAAGAATGCTGTTTTTTCTTCTACTCTTCTTTAAGAACAAGTAACAATTATGACGTAATCTGTCAGAGTAGTTACGTCAGGCAGTTTTGCAAGTTGTATATCGAGGCCGGGGTGGGGGGGAGTTGGCCTTTCCGTCTGATAGATTATCCTGTATAAGCTCATGTGTGTTGTTGTTGTTGTTGGTGGGGGTGGTAGGGGGAGGGTGTTCACACCTCCATATAACGTTAATAAATAGTGTACGCATACGCAGAGAATATAATCCTTTGTAAAGGGAAATTACTAATATATGTTCAGGGAATTATAATAAATGTATCTTCTATTAAAATAATATATCCCCCCATTGTACCTTCAATAGACTTCCATTCATTCATACATTCAGTCACTGTACTTAAAATGTTCTCATTACATTATGTACTTACTCCATTTACTTTAGTAAATGTGTGCGTGTTATACTAAATGTAAACTGTAAATTTAATGCGTACATTTTCTACTTCATGTAAAGTAAATTCGTACGTGTTCTACAACCGGTACAGAAAAAGCGTACGTTTTCTACTACTACCTGTGGAGTTTATGTCTACGAGTTCTACTACTTGTACAATGTACAGTAAATGCGTATGTATTCTACTACCTGTACAGTTTATGCTTTTGTGTGCTTATACCTGTAAGTCCATCGAATGACAGTAGTAAGCTTTGTTTATAGGGAAAAGAATAACATACTTAACAATGTTTAAAGGGGAATTTAGGGAATACATGTACTATATAAATATTGTTGTATGGGATGGAAAAGGAGTGGGAGGGGGGGGGGGGGGGAGGGAAGGGTTAAAGCTAGAATAGTACACCTAATTTGCACGGTTCCCGTTTAAAAATGTAAGTCTGTTTTGTTTTCTGAGTGAATATGCTCAAAGGTGACAAAGTGGAGAAAATAAAAAAGTTGAGTAAAGGGTTTGGGACATGGGAAAGAGAAGGAACGAGAAAGAAAGACCTGGAAAGAACGGGTTTGAGAAGACGAAGAGAGAAGTGAGAAAGAGAGAACGGGTGCGGGAAGAAGAAGAGAGAAAGATAAAACTTGTGTTGAAAGAAGAAGAGAGAACGGGTGTGGAAAGGATAAAGAGAGAGCCAGGAGTGGGAAGGAGGTACGAGAGAAGGGGTGTGTGAAGGAGAGGAGAGAACGGGCGTGGGAAGGAGAAGAGAGAAAGGGTGTGGGAAGGTGAAGAGAGAACAGGTTTGGGAAGGAGAAGAGAGAACGGGTGTGGGAAGAATAAAGAGAGAGCCGGAGTGGGAAGGAGAAGAGAGAAGGGATGTGTGAAGGAGAAGAGAGAAGAGGTGTGTGAAGGAGAAGAGAGAAGGGGTGTGTGAAGGAGAAGAGAGAAGGGGTATGTGAAGGAGAAGAGAGTACGGGTGTGGGAAGGAGAAAGAGAGAACGGGTGTGTGAAGGAGAAGAGAGAAGACGGGTGTGGGAAGGAGAAAGAGAGAACGGGTGTGTGAAGGAGAAGAGAGAAGGGGTGTGTGAAGGAGAAGAGAGAACGGGTGCGGGAATGAGAAGAGAGTATACGGGTGCGGGAAGGAGAAGAGAGAACGGGTGTGGGAAGGATAAAGAGAGAGCCGGAGTGGGAAGGGGAAGAGAGAAGTTGTTTGTGAAGGAGAAGAGAGAACGGGTGTGGGAAGGAGAAAGAGAGAACGGGTGTGGGAAGGAGAAGAGAGAACGGGTGTGGGAAGGAGAAGAGAGAACGGGTGTGGGAAGGAGAAAGAGAGAACGGGTGTGGGAAGAAGAAGAGAGTACGGGTGCGGGAAGGAGAAGAGAGAACGGGTGTGGGAAGGAGAAAGAGAGAACGGGTGTGGGAAGGAGAAGAGAGAACGGTGTGGGAAGGAGAAAGAGAGAACGGGTGTGGGAAGGAGAGAAGGATTTGAGTAGGATAAGTGGGTGGTTCCCTATATAACTCCTTTTATGGGAAGAGTTGTAATTTCATATATTTTCTGAATAAAAACACTTTTATGCACTTTTTACATCCAAAACTATTCTGTTTTCTTTCCTTGGTAGAGTAGGTGGGAGATGGAGGGGAGGGAAAAGGGATAGGGGAAGGGGTTAAGGGGGGAGTTTTATCAGTAAATACGGTAAGGGGCGGGTCTGTGGGAGTTAAATAGTAAAGACCGAGGAAAAAGTTTCATGTGAAGAATCATAAAACTTTTTCTTTCTACTATCGTTTTATTACCCTCATAATTATTTTAATTATTATTATTATCTGTAAATACCAAGTTTTTATCAGTAGCACCCACTACATCATTATTATAGAATGTATATTTTAACTTTTATTGTTATAGGCAAAAAGGGTTCATAATCACAGATGTTTCGTAATTGATTTGAATTTTATACTCTTTCTATAGCTCCCCTTTTTTTCCTTACAACCTATACCCCCCCCCCCTCTAAAGAAAACTCTTTCATCCCTCTACACTCCATAAAACAAAGTTATTCAATATGTCCTTCCTGGGTTCGGTAAAATTTGAAAACCAATTTGTTTTTCTGCGAACATCTCTTACAAAATGGGAATTTTCACTGGGTTCTTATACTTGCATAGTCCGTAGGGAGGGGATTACTTCCCTGTTTCTTATTCACAGTTTTCTTTTGTATCTTACTCTCCTGTTCTTTCATAAGCTTTCTTTTTTTTCTTACTCTCCTGTCCTTTCATAAGCTTTCTTTTGTTTCTTACTCTCCTGTCCTTTCATAAGCTTTCTTTTGTTTCTTACTCTCCTGTTCTTTCATTAGCTTTCTTTTGTTTCTTACTCTCCTGTTCTTTCATTAGCTTTCTTTTTGTATCTTACTCTCCTGTCCTTTCATAAGCTTTCTTTTTGTATCTTACTCTCCTGTCCTTTCATAAGCTTTCTTTTTGTATCTTACTCTCCTGTCCTTTCATAAGCTTTCTTTTTGTTTCTTACTCTCCTGTCCTTTCACAAGCTTTCTTTTTGTTTCTTACTCCCCTGTCCTTTCATAAGCTTTCTTTTTGTTTTACACTGACTTTGTTTCCCAATTTGCCCAAAACCCTTCAATAACTTTTCACTGTCTTTCCGAATTTCCCTGTCCATATCTAATAATTTCCTTGTCCATATCTTATTAATTTCCTTGTCCATATCTAATTAAGTTACCTGTCCCTCTCTTATTAATTTCCTTGTCCCTATATTATTAATTTCCTTGTCCATATCATATTAATTTCCTTGTCTATATCTTATTAATCTCCTTGTCCCTATCTAATTAATTTCCCTGTCCTTATCTTATAAATTTCCTTGTCCCTATCTTATTAATTTCCTTGTCCATATCTAATTAAGTTACCTGTCCCTCTCTTATTAATTTCCTTGTCCCTATATTATTAATTTCCTTGTCACTATCATATTAATTTCCTTGTCTATATCTTATTAATCTCCTTGTCCCTATCTAATTAATTTCCCTGTCCTTATTTTATAAATTTCCTTGTCCATATATTATTAATTTCCTTGTCCCTATCTTGTTAATTTCCTTGTCCATATATTATTAATTTCCTTGTCCCTATCTTATTAATTTCCTTGTTTATATCTTATTAATTTCCTTCTCCCCATCCAATTAGTTTCCCTCTCCCTATCTTATTATTTTCCTTGTCCCTATCTTAATAAATTCCCTTTTCTTAAACAACTTTTTTCTTTAATTTCTTTCCCTTACCTTTCTATATTCCTGTATCCGAGCTTACCATATTTCTCATCATTTCTTCTTTTCATTCTCTACCATCGTTATTCACACCTTTTTATCTCCACCTCCGAGTACTGCTCCTGTATCACTCTCTCTATCCTCTTCTATCTTCAATATTTTAAATACCCCTATCCTTGTTCCCATCCTTGAGATTTAAAGTTTATCAGATTCTAGTTTTCAATCAGATCTGAGTCCACTATTAGTTCTTCAAAGGACGGAGAAGAGATGGAAATTATATAATCCTGGACAGAATAATATTATCCGAGGGAGTTTTCTCCTCTTATCAATCTTCATAGTTAAATTCTTTTCTCCAAGTTTACATCTTTCACAGCTATTTTAAGCTCTTTAGGTTTATTTCTTTCACAGTTAGCTTTAGCTCTTTAGGTTTATTTCTTTAACAGTTAGCTTTAGCTCTTTAGGTTTATTTCTTTCACAGCTAGCTTAAGCTCTTTAGGTTATTTCTTTCACAGCTAGCTTAAGCTCTTTCGGTTTATTTCTTTCACAGCTAGCTTAAGCTCTTTAGGTTTTTTCTTTCACAGTTAGCTTTAGCTCTTTAGGTTTATTTCTTTCACAGTTAGCTTTAGCTCTTTAGGTTTATTTCTTTCACAGTTAGCTTTAGCTCTTTAGGTTTATTTCTTTCACAGTTAGCTTAAGCTCTTTAGGTTTATTTCTTTCACATTTAGCTTTAGATCTTTAGGTTTATTTCTTTCACAGCTAGCTTTAGCAGGTTTATTTCTTTCACAGTTTTAGCTCTTTAGGTTTATTTCTTTCACAGTTAGCTTAAGCTCTTTAGGTTTATTTCTTTCACATTTAGCTTTAGATCTTTAGGTTTATTTCTTTCACAGCTAGCTTTAGCAGGTTTATTTCTTTCACAGTTAGCTTTAGCTCTTTTGGTTTATTTCTTTCACAGTTAGCTTTAGCTCTTTAGGTTTATTTCTTTCACAGCTAGCTTTAGCGGGGTTATTTCTTTCACAGTTAGCTTTAGCTCTTTTGGTTTATTTCTTTCGCAGTTAGCTTTAGATCTTTAGGTTTATTTCTTTCACAGCTAGCTTTAGCAGGTTTATTTCTTTCACAGTTAGCTTTAGCTCTTTTGTTTATTTCTTTCACAGTTAGCTTTAGATCTTTAGGTTTAGAACTTTCACAGTTAGCTTTAGCATCGTTGGCTCATCTCGGGGGTTAGTTTTTCTCAGTCAGTTTAAGTTAAGCTCCAGGTATAAATTGTATCCGTACTGTTTTCTTTAAAATATAGTTCCATGTTTGTTTTACTAGTTTGAGCATAAACTTGTGTATTTACAATTCTGTTTGTTTTCTTCTCTAGTGTTTACATGCATGTCCAAATGTTTGTAAATTTGAATTTTTGTTTTGTCTGTCATTTTTTTAAATCCCAAATGTTGTTTTCCCCTGGACTCCTGCGCCCCAGATCTAACTAATTAATTAAAAGTTTTATTCTGGACGTTTATTATGATATTTTATTTGACGGAAAGCTATTAATAAGAAAAAAGAAAATATTACAGAATGCGTAAAATCAAAAAAAAACTGTCAGTTTCTAATTTTTTACACCGAAGAACGGTCGTCAGTTAATCGGTCCCTTTCATCGTTTGTTTCCATAATTTCAAGTTTACCTAAAAAATAAGCAAGTCTGGTTCAGAATTTGCTTAATAACTGGTTTAACTGTTTGTTTGTTTGTCCGTTCTTCTGTCTGTAGCTGTCAAATAGTGATGTATCCTCACAAAAGATATGATAACAGTTTTTTGAATCAATTACATTTACATTCTAGCCTTGGGTACTTCTATATACCTATATATAGCGATCAAAATATTCTTCACTCAAATTTTCAACAATGTTTTTTTTTTCACTGTATTTAAGCTAGAACAGAGTTTTTTAACGTTTTTAACGATTAGATTTGGAATTGGGATTTGTTATTTATAAATATATACATTATTGATCTTGGAACAAAAAAGGGGTTGAGGGGGTCAAACCTATATGTGGAATAGTATTAATCATTTTTTTTCGAGGAACAACTGAGCGGAGCTAATTATACACCTTTCAATATACGTTCGGTAGGAGTAGAAAAACATGAAACATTCAGATAAGATTTTTTTCCCTTGCTGGCAAAACATAAAGCCAGACTTCAAATTCATTTTTTTGTAAGATCACAGAGTGTTAAATACAAATTAATTATTTTGTGATCTCTAATCACAAACTAGAAATTACAGCCTCTAATCACAAACTAGAATTAACAACCTGAAATTACAAACTATAATTAACGATCTCTAATCATAAACTAGAATTAATGACCTCTAATCACAAACTAGAATCAACAACCTCTAATCACGAACTAGGTATAGCAATCTCTAATCACAAACTGGAATTAACAACCTCTAATCACAAACTAGAATTAACAACCTCTAATCACAGACTAGAATTAACAAGCTCAAATCACAAACTAGAATTAACAATCTCTAATCACAAACTAGAATTAACAACCTCAAATCACAAACTAGAATTAACGATCTCTAAGCACAAACTAGGATAAACAACCTGAAATCACAAACTAGAATTAACGATCTCTAAGCACAATCTATGATAAACAACCTCTTATCATAAACAATAAATAATTAACAACCTCTAATCACAAATTAGAATTAATAACTTCTAATCACAAACTAAACTAGAATTAACAACCTCTAATCACAAACTAGAATTAACAACCTCTAATCAAAAACTAGAATTAACATCCTCTAATCACAAACTATAATTAATGACCTATAATCACAAACTAGGATCAATGACCTCCCTGAATAACGAGATATTTAACCCTGTTATCTACCCCCCCCCCCTCCATAGTAACCCTTTCTTTACTGTAAATATATGGGGGTAAAGGACTATAACTGGAAGGTCTAATCCAAACCTATTTATTTTAATATAACATATTGAATTTAGCTCCCGTTCTCTATAGATCTAGTAGGATTATATAGTTCCATCCAGTGGAATTTTATACATTCTACATTGTTCAGTCTGTAAAGTGCTGGGTTGTATAATAAAGTTGGTTACTCAAGATGCGCTCCATGTACGGAAAATGTCGTCTTCTAAGATTGAGAGATGAAAACCCCATATGACGTTACTCTCGCCTCTATAATCAGTGACGTCATATGAGGTTTTTATCTATCTATCTTAGGAGGCGATATTTTCCGCGAATTGAAGCTCATCGTGAGTAACCAACATTTTTATACAACCTTGATAAAGTGTAAGTCTTTGAATAGATGGCAATACAGTATGGAAGGATGTTTAGTAGATGATATATATTGAATTTGTAATATCTATAAAGTAAAAGGAGGGTATGTAGTTTATACACAACTGTATATATAATATTGTGACAGTGTATGGTGCAGATTGATATTTGTACAACCCACCCCTTGTACTGTAAATATTTACTAGTTCAAGTACACTCAAGATAAGTACACAAAGTCAAGTGTACTCACCATCATAACTCATTCTGCAACATATTGGTAAGCGTATAGATGGGGGATAGGGGAAATGAGCTAGTAAAGGGGGGAGGGGGGGATTATCATGTTAATAGCCAACACTGTTTTTGCTTTTCAAATTTGTACTTTCAATCTTTTGATTTAGTAGTTTATTCATATTCACTATACTTGTACTTTCATCTCCGCTTTACTTGTACTTTCATCTCTGCTATATTTGTACTTTCATCTCTCCTATACTTGTACTAATGTACTGTCAATCTTTATTGCATTTTATATTAAGTCATTACCATTGAAATTTTATCTTACACATGTCTGTTAAAGTTGCACTCCATTCATTTTTTCATTCTTACTTTTTTGTGATTCTTTTAAAGTTGTACATTATTTATTTCTTTATTTACTTATATTGCAATTTTACCTTATTCATATTTATTGAAATAAGTTTTTATTGAAAGTGAAGGTTATTTATTTTTTACTATATTAAACTTAATCTTTAGTTATTTCAGTGAATGTGTACTAGAATTTTGTTTTTATGAACTTAAAATTTCTCTTAAACTTTTTCATTTGTTTGAATTTGTATTTTTAATATATCCATGTACATTGTACATACAGTTTACTGGAATATAAAAATGTCCAGGGTATTTGTACAAAAAAAGTGTATTCATGTTTTTACAAAATTATTTGGCTTGCTAGCAGTCATTGTTTTTCTATTGTCTGTAAAAAGGATGTTTTAGTAGAACGGAACCTATCCAGTTTTCAGGCATCATTGCCTAGATTTGATTGCGGTATGTCTTATTCTACTTCATGCAATATTCAGGCATTATTCATGCATTCCTCATGCATTCGACTCACTTCACTTCAATTCAGGCCAAAAAATGAATGCAAATAATGTCTGAAAAACAAAATCCAAATAAAAATGTCAATATATTTTAGCCAAAAAAAATATGTTCGCTGAAGCTAGTGAACAGTTAGTGAATCAAAGAGGGTAAAAACAAAGTGGAAGCTGACTCAAGTTAGAAACCAAATAGACCTTTAATAAAAAACTGATAAATTTGATTTTTTTTCAGATGGAGAGAGAGAAAGATATCCGAGTTCAAGTACAGATGATCACTCCAGTAGTGAGGATATACCGAGGAGGGGTTTAGCTAGGAGAAGAAGAGGAAACCTTCCTAAGGATTCCATCAAGGTACTGCTTTTTGCTTTTTCGTCACGAATAGGGTAAACTGTATACAACTTATTTACCCAAACTATTATAAAGTGAGTGTAAGGAGCCCCAACTTATAACTTCAGCTTAGGAATATAGTTGAGAATAACTAGGTTATCCAGGGTAACAATAAAACTAGGAGAATGTTCTCTCCAGGTATATGAATAGAACAAAGAGAATGTTCTCTCCAGGTATAGGAATATAACTAGACGATGTTCTCTCCAGGTATATGAATAGAACAAAGAGAATGTTCTCTCCAGGTATAGAAATATAACTAGAGAATGTTCTCTCCAGGTATAGAAATAGAACTAGAGAATGTTCTCTCCAGGTACAGAAATAGAGCTAGAGAATGTTCTCTCCAGGTATAGGAATATAACTAGAGGATGTTCTCTCCAGGTATAGAAATAAAACTAGGAGAATGTTCTCTCCAGTTATATAAATAGAACCAAGAGAATGTTCTCTCCAGGTGTAGAGATAGAACTAGAGAATGTTCTCTCCATTTATAGGAATATAACTAGAGGATGTTCTCTCCAGGTATAGGAATATAACTAGAGAATGTTCTCTACTGGTATAGAAATATAACTAGAGAATGTTCTCTCCAGGTATAGGAATATAACTAGAGAATGTTCTCTCCAGGTATAGGAATAGAACTAGAGAATGTTCTCTTCATGTATATGAATAGAACTAGAGAATGTTCTCTCTTGGTATAGAAATATAACTAGAGAATGTTCTCTCCAGTTATAGAAATATAACTAGAGAATGTTCTCTCCTGGTATAGAAATATAGCTAGAGAATGTTATCTCCAGGTATAGGAATATAACTAGAGGATGTTATCTCCTGGTATAGAAATATAACTAGAGAATGTTATATCCGGGTATAGGAATATAACTAGAGAATGTTCTCTCCTGGTATAGAAATATAACTAGAGAATGTTCTCTCCAGGTATAGGAATAGAACTAGAGAATGTTCTCTCCAGGTATAGGAATAGAACTAGAGAATGTTCTCTCCAGGTATAGGAATATAACTAGAGAATGTTCTCTCCTGGTATAGGAATATAACTAGAGAATGTTCTCTCCAGGCATAGGAATAGAACTAGAGAACGTTCTCTCCTGAAATAGGAATATAACTAGATAATGTTCTCTCCAGGTAAAGGAATAGAACTAGAGAATGTTCTCTCCAGGTATAGGAATATAACTAGAGAATGTTCTCTCCTGGTATAGGAATATAACTAGATTATGTTCTCTCCTTGTATAGAAATATAACTAGAGAATGTTCTCTCCAGGTATAGGAATATAACTATAAGAAGATCCATGTACAGGATAGAAAGGATAGAACTATAAAAATATTTTCTCCAGAGGGTAGGCATAGAATACACATGTGGTAGGTTGCGTGATTATTTTACTGTATTCATTCTTACAATAAACTTGTTAGAGTTAAACCTTAAATCAGCTCTACGTTTTATTTCTTATCTATTATTGTAACAACTCTTTTATTCACCAGTTGGAGGATTTAATGCATTTTTCCTTGTAATCCGAGCTAAAGAAAATTCTATGAAATATTTTTAGTTTAGTCAACACTTCTATATGTTTCTTGAGCTTGGTATAAATACGCCTTACTTAGCTCATTCTTCGTGAATTGGAGATTTGGAACAGGTTTGGTTCGAAACTATGTTCTTTTGGAACAAGGTTCTCTTGGGACAAGACTATCTTTTTCTATGGATAAGGTTCTCTTCGGAAAAGATCACGGTTCCTTTGGGACAAGTGCAACAAGGTTGATTTTTTTGGGGACAAGGTGAATTTTGAACTGAAGACCTTGTCTTTTAACTTCCCTTCCTAAATATATACTATTGAATAAATATGAAGCTAAACTACGGAAGTTGAAGAATATAAAATCTTTTAACGGTTTCATTCATAGCTTTTACTTTAAGCAAACAATGTTATCTTTTCCATTTTAGGAAAATTCAGCTAATCCTTGGTTATAAAAACATATCTTTGTCGCCATTTTCTCAACACTGTCAGGGCTCAATTTGATGAAATGTTGTATACTTACTCTGAGTTAAACTAACATAGTGCACTCCTTCTTAGCTCTTTCATCACCTACTGTATATTCATCATTCATTTAGAATTTCACAGCTTTTCTTTATAATAAGTAATAATTCATCTTTAACTCCAGTCCATTATATTCAGACGCTTAGATTATTTTTTTGCAACGTTTTTTGCTCCGATTGTTTATCTTTGATAACCTCGATCGGGTTAGCCTTGAACCCTGGGATTCTACTAGTATAGCGGAGGCCGTAGAGAGGCTGAAATAAGAGGCCCACTCTGGGTTAAAATATAAATATTAATCTAATTATTTTAATCTCAAGGAATAATGATTAATCTCTGTATTTTACGCTTTCTTTGGTTCTTCTAGATCTTTGATTTTTTATCTTTCTGTCATCACCGTCCTAGTTTCCCCGTCCTCCTGTCCTAAACATACTAGTTTCCCCGTCCTGTCCTGAACATACTAGTTTCCCGTTCTTCTGTTCTAAACATATTAGTTTCCCGTTCTCCTGTCCTAAACATACTAGTTTCCCCGTCCTCCTGTCCTGAACATACAAGTTCCCGGTCCTCCTGTCCTGAACATACAAGTTCCCCGTTCTCCTGTCCTAAACATACTAGTTTACCGTCCTCCTGGCCTAAACATACTAGTTCCCCCGTTCTCCTGTCCTAAACATCCTAGTTTGCCGTTTTCCTGTCCTAATCATACTAGTTTCCCGTTCTCCTGTCCTAAACATCCTAGTTTTCCCGTTTTCCTGTCCTAATCATACAAGTTTCCCGTTTTCCTGTTCTAAACATGCTAGTTTCCCGTTTCTTTTGTCTTTATACATTTGGTTTTACTATCTTAACATCTTAGTTTTACGTCCTCTTGTCCTTAACATCAAGAAGACCCGTCTTCCTGTCCTATTGTCCTAAACATAATTATTTCCTGTCTTCCTAAGCTAAACATTATAGTTTCCCGTCCTCTTGTCCGAAACCTCATGATTTCCTGTCCTAAACATCCTAGTTATCTGTTCTCCTGTCCCAAATATCCTTGTTTCCTGTCCTAAGCATCAAGAAGACCCGTCCTCCTGTTCTCTTGTCCTAAACATCATGATTTCCGTCCTTATGTCCTAAACTTCCTAGTTTCCTGTCTATCCAAAACATTGTAGTTTCTTGTCCTAATAATCCTTATTTCCTCTTCTCCTGTCCTAAACATCCTTATTTCTTGTCCTCAGTCCACTTCCTGTCTTCCTGTTCTGAATACCGAATGGATTAAGATTTGTGTTTAACATCTTCTGCCTCCGATTCTTTTCATTTTCTGCTTTGCTCGGTTTTTATCCCTAGAATATTGTTGCTAGCTGCAAAGCTGTGTGCAGAGTTGAAGGAAACTAGGTCATATTCTATCCTATCCTAGCTCCACTATCTTTATACTTTTAAATACATTCAATAGATTTAAATATTTGAATAATTCTTTATCTTTGGATTAGTTTGCAATAATACCCTCCTTCTTATCTGTTCACAAAGAATATGTTTTTAATCTATTAAAAACGCCTTTCGTACCTTTCTTGGCCCATCTCATAGCTAAACAAAGTTTTTACCCTACCCTCCCACGCAATTGCCCCCCCCCCCACCCCCACTATCACGACTTCTTTTATCATTTTTTAATAAGATTTTTACTCTATTTTCTGTTATATAGTCTCAGGATGTACTCTTTTATTTTTTGTATTCCAAATTTTGTACTTCAGCTAAAGATTTTATAGTTGATAAAAATTATAATTTTAGACAAACTGGAGATAATTATTTAATTTTACATAATATGGTTGAGTTAATAATATATATATTTAGGTATTGAAAAAATGGCTGTATGATCACCGATACAATGCGTACCCTAATGACGCAGAAAAAGTCTCCCTGGCTAAAGAGGCTGGCCTCACTGTACTCCAGGTGAGAATTTAAATATTGCGTAAAATACCTATTTGCGCATTTATTGGATTTAAGAATTGCAAATTTGTGCCATGTTTGCAAATTCGGTAGAATTTTGTTGCTGAGTAAAAATTCTAGTAAAATTTGCAAGATTGTACATTTTATAATCTAAGTATTAATGGGTATTAATTGTTGGCGCCAGTTTGACGCATTCTAAATTTAGGGACAAATATCCCCCCCCCCCCAAAAAAAAAAATCCAAATATTGTTTATGAAGTGTATTATGGATAAGTGGTATTTTTAATATTTTATTATTCAGATTTTCTAAATATCAGGTTAATGTCACACAAAAAATATTTATATTCTTATTTTTTAAACAGCTTATTATTCAGACTTGAGTTGATCATATGTCCCATTATTTATTTATTTTACTAAACATAAATCATATATATTGTGGGATACATGTGATGTTTCTAAATTTCTTATCAGGCCTTGTCTAAAATAGTGACGTACAGCTGCCATATTGTTTATTTAATATCCATACAATTTATTTTTGTGTCATCTATACAACACTACAGAGTAGACCAAAAAAATTATTAGTGCTTTTTATAGTTACTGGAAACAATACTTTTTTTGTATGAGAAACAGATTTAGCACCCTGTAATCATAAATGTATTTAGTTACATATATCTTTCCTTGGATAAGGAAACTGAATATAAATCAGTTCTTAAATATCGGAGAAAGCCTAGTTTTGTTTTATAAACAATAAACATGTCACAGAGTTTGTTTAAATATTTTTAAACTCCTTATCGTCTAAGCAGCAAATATTTATCCCTTTAATCCGTTAAACCCCCATATTTATCCAAGTAATATTCTTATTTTATTCAATTAGTGTTGAAAGAGCTAATTATTCATTATTTTTACTTTTATTTTTATTTTTTCATAAATACTATTATTACCTTATCTTCACTATTTTTGTAAATCCTTCTTCGGTTTAATCAGCTCCTATGCATCAGTTTATAATCAGCTCCTCTAATTCCCCCTATTTTTCCCTGCACTTCAATTATCCATCGAAAACGTTTACCATAAAAAAGCGTTCAATGTATGACGCATCCAGATAGGAAATCATTATCTTCAACTATACAGACGGATATTTACCAAACCCTCGTAAAGGACTCATCAAAAGGAAATTAAACAGATAAACTGAATTGATTTATCTAAAATTCCAATTTATTTTGAATCTGAAAATTGCAATAATATTTGCTTAATGAAAACTAATTTTTGACTAAACCTTCCTTAACCCAGTCAAACTCATACTTGTTATTGACCGAATCTACTTCAAAACCTTTCAGACTTAAGCGTTAATTTAGAGTCAATCCAGATAGTACATTTGGAGGGTGGGTGAGGGGGGGTATAAGGGGAGAAGGGGCGGATGTGGGGGTATTCCCCCCCCCTTATTTTATACAATTGAAATTGAAGATTAGAGCTCAAGTGCATACTGGTAACCACAACAGTAAAGAGGAGCCAAAGTCTGGTATATTGTTGTAATATGACAATAGAATTAGATAATTCAACCCATACAATTATACAATTACATTTATTATTTATATATCAAGTCAATCCACACTTTCAAATCTTCATGCAATGCATTTAAGTCATGTGTAAGTAAGTTATATGTTTACTATAGTTTTGACGACTACTTTTTAGATATATATATATATATACATGTATGGATTTATGATAACATATATATTTTTATATTTAATATATTTCTATAATTGTAGGTTTGCAACTGGTTCATCAATGCACGCCGTAGGATTCTTCCGGAGATAATCAGGAGAGAAGGAAACGATCCTCAGAGATTTACTATATCCAGGAGAGGAACTAGAGTTAGGTAGGTTTACTATATCCAGGAGAGGAACTAGAGTTATTTAGGTTTACTATATCCAGGAGAGGAACTAGAGTTAGGTAGGTTTACTATATCCAGGAGAGGAACTCGAGTTAGGTAGGTTTACTATATCCAGGAGAGGAACTAGAGTTAGGTAGGTTTACTATATCCATGAGAGGAACTAGAGTTAGGTAGGTTTACTATATCCAGGAGAGGAACTAGAGTTAGGTAGGTTTACTATATCCAGGTGAGGAACTAGAGTTGGGTAGGTTCACATTCGGAAGAGCAGGAACCAGGGTAGGTAGACTGATTATATCTAGAGTCCGGAAAGCCTTAATTGATTAATAATTAACGAGATTAAGTGCAAAATTAAAACTAAGATTAAGAAAATAATTCTGTTTAAACCCTGATATATATCCAGATCTACCTAAGTGTAAACCCTGATATATATCCAGGTCCCCCCGTCTACCTAAGTTTAAACCCTGATATATATCCAGGTCCCCCCGTCTACCTAAGTTTAAACCCTGATATATATCCAGGTCCCCCCGTCTACCTAAGTTTAAACCCTAATATATATCCAGGTCCCCTCGTCTACCTAAGTTTAAACCCTAATATATATATCCAGGTCCCCCCGTCTACCTAAGTGGGATGGAAGTTCTCGCGAAGCTGAGGAGAGTATAACTATATATAGAGCTGAGGATTCAGGACCAGATTTCTCAGATGACGAGCTAGAGTACAAAGATGTTAAGGTTAGACAAATACTTTTTAACGGGTTCTAAATTTGGTATTATTGGATTGCAGAAATGAGAAGTTTATTAGAAATAAAGGTACTGTGCTTGAGGTTTTAAGTGAACCTTGATCTTTAGAGGGGCAAGTCAGATTCACAAAGGTACTCTTTAAATCTTTACATCATCAATCATGTTGAAGATTTCGTCGATTCATTAGCTTTCTAACAAGTCATTTAAAATCAAAATATCTCTGTTATTCTTGATGAGACCAAGGTTTTTAGGGAACCGATGTGAATCGGACATGCCACGAAAACGAAGATTTCCTTGTACTTACGACTGAAGCCACTTCAAGACATTGTGATTGTAGAAAACTTGAATTATTTTTCTCACTTGTTTACGATTTGTGTTTTCTAAAGGACTTCACAAACCTTTTGTTTTTGGTCCGTTTTGATAGTAAGGATTCTTATTGTGTTTTAATTAAAAAAAAGTTCATCAAAACGTTATTTATTCTTAATATAAAGCCAGTGAATAATCAATTAATTTCTTTGACGTATATACACACTGTGAGTCATCCAAGGCTAAATTGCTGATATTGACGTTGCAGTTTAATTTATCCGTGAAATATCAATTTTTTATCATAATATGCCAAGAGGTTCAATGACATGCTAAGTCCTCTAATTTCTAGAGCGGAGAGGGGGTGGGGTGTATTAAAAAATTCAATGATTTTCTCCTTACATAATCTTTACCTTCGAAGTAGGGTTCGCGAAAAAAAACTTCAGTTGATAAAAATCCTAAAATAATTTTTAAGATTTTGGGGTATGAGCAATTAAGAAATTAACTAAATTTTTCCATCCCTGGTCACTTCAAATCATTAAAAAAAAAGATAGAAAAGAATCATTTTTTATTTTTATCTTGAGAAAATTTCAAATTTTAGAATTTGAAATATTAAAAGATTTTTTCAAGCAAATATGAAAATATTGAAAAAATTATTTTAAGTTGATTTCTTACAATGGAAACAACATTGGTTTATTTTATCCCACTTGTCTTTTTCATCTGTCTGTCTCTCAAAAAGACTGTCTCTAAGGATTAAATGTCATGATTTAACCTCATTTTAAACAATAATAATTAATTAGATTTACAACCTTCCATCCTTTCATTAATAGGTAGAGAACGGTTTTAATATTCTTAATACCATTTGAATATTTATATTGTAAAACTTTAACCATTGTTCAAACAACTTCACATTTATTATTTATTAATCCCTCAATCTGATATCTTAGCTGAAAACTTTAGAATTATGAATTTCGAGAGAATTTTTTGATCTCCTCTTTTTTTTATTCTTAAAATTAATGTTATCTTTTTTTTGATATCCAGTGTCTAAAATTCAACAAATTAGTGTCCTTTGATTAAACAAAACAGCCAATCAGAAGCCGGAAACTTTGCCCGTAACCTAAGAGAGAACTCTCCATTGGTTGAAACCCATGAGGGATATCCACAAAATCAAAGGTGTTAAAAAATGAAAATCGAGATTAATCTAACGGGATATTTCTTAAAGTTTAAAGGATACAGATTTCTCTGATGTTTGACTTAGGATTTGTTTGATTGAAATAATACTTGAGGGTGAAATTTTGATCTTGAGAAAATTAGTTTTGTATTGTTTTAACTTAAAGAGACTGTAGACGTAATTTCTAGCGACCCTCAATTTATAGAGTGGCATGTCCGTTTCACAAGGGTACCCTTCAAACATTTTATGTTCAAGAATTAATGAGATATTTTTGAATATATTTTATTTTTTCTCTTTTAAAGTGGTCTTCGGATTTCAGCTACAGAAACAATGGATGAAATTGTCTGAATGTAACACATCTAGAAAAACGACAATATCTTCCACATTATTAATCAGTTAAAGGTTTAAAGTGTTAATAAGATAATGTGTCTCATAATTAAAAAATAAACAAAATGAAAATGATAGGTTTAATGATTAAAAGGATAAAGATGAGAGAATTGAATGTTTAAGTACGTCCAACTATATTCCCCCTGGATACTGAAAACATTCTAGAGGTTTAAAAGAAAATAACTTGGCTCCCCCTTGCATCCCTTGCACAAAACCAGGGATGTATATTTCTCGTGCCAAACAATTCTTTGCGTTTTCTACAACCCAGAAAAGATTATTCGGGGGAGCCAAATTGTCCCTGCGTACACCAGGGTTGGGTAGGATATAATCCTAGTGCAGTTGGATAAAAGAGAGATTTATAATGGATTTAGATTTATTTTTAATTTAGAATTATATTGAATTTAATTCGAAAATATATATACATATACACACACATCCCTGTAGAAGTAATATTGAAGTTTACAGCAAATATAAAAGTTTATTGCAAGGAGTAAGTATGGTTTATACTTTATGAGTTTTGTTTAACCTGTTGTTCTTTCAGTTTTCTAAAGTTCTCTTTCTTCACATTGTATTCTGGGGCAACGATCCCGATCGCTTTATCCCGATATCCACTGTGGGCACTAAATTTTACGCAGACTCTGCTTGATCACTTGAGTTTGAATATCCGCAATTTTCTCTGTTCTCTCCTTGGTTGGGAGCAAAATACCCTGGCTACTGAATGGCTGTTTTTTTTCCACAAACGAGCAATGATCTTGATATTCACAATAAAGAGTTCCCAGTTCTCTGTTTAGATAAAAGTGACGAGCAAGGATCAAGGTATAACGTGGGGGACTGGGTAATCGTTGACTGATTGCCTGTAAAAAACACGTTGATGTTAGGTTTTTGTTTTGTTGTCTAAAGTGGTAAAACACTTAAATCTAATCTTGACAGAATACAATTTTTAATATTTGTTGATTGATTGATTGTTTGATTGATTGATTGATTGATTGATTGATTGATTGATTGATTGATTGATTATTTAGTGTCTGTCTAAGCAGAGGTATGACAGTGGAGAGTCTGGTGTGTTCTCAACCAGCTCCAGTTGTCCCTGTGGTTGCAGTAAAGATGACTCCTTCTCCTCCCTCTATATACCTCAATCCTATATAACTGCTAGGTAATCTAATCCTCCTCCTTCTATATACCTCAATCCTATGTAACTGCTAAGTAATCTAATCCTCCCTCTATATACCTCAATCCTCTATGTGGATTAATCCGAGTTTGTACAAAATTGTTTAAAAAAACGATTACCTTTCCTGTTCTATCTGTAAAATCTTTGATCAAAGTTCTGTGCAATAAAAATTTATTTGTTTTTCCTTGATTCCATCAACCGACAATATGTTTTAACAAATTTAATCTGAAGTGTTAACCTTAGAAGGTTATTTCAAAAACTGTTAAGTTCTATAAATCTACGAACTGCATTGTATAGGCTGACCGAAGTAGCGAGAAGAGACCTCACCTCAAAGAAGGTTCTCTCCTCTGAGGCTAGCGGAATATCCTCAGATCCAGATGGATCATGTAGCATGGAGGTCGGGAAAGACGAAGACCAGCCTCTGGACATGTCGAGGACAAGCAGTACTATTCACCATAAGCGGGAGCCGGAGGACGAACAGAAGCTCTTATTCTCCGGCCTCCACCTTCTTGTTACAGCTGTGGGGATACTAGAGAGACGAGCGCAAACCCGTCCCGTCCTTGCTTAATTAGGACTTGGAGAACTTAAGCTTATAGAATATTCGAACAGGGAACCTGGCTCAAATTCTTGACGACTCGATTCAGTTTTCTTGATGTTGAATCTGGTCGAGTATCTGGGAAGAAAGTAGAGAACCCCGCTCCCTAAAGACCTTTGTATATGCGCCGTGTTACCTGAAAATCTTGAGAAAATGTTTCCAAAAGACAATTCAGATAATCTTAGGTATCGTCAGTCTTCCCTATTTATATATAGGCCAGTCCATATATTGAAAATTTATGTTACCTTGCGACCTTTTTGAGTTACCAATCTATAGGTTCTTGTCAGTCTCTTGTAGATATTGCTATCTATTGCTTAAAAACTAAATCCTTTTCCCAATTCTATGTTTCCCGTTCTCCATTATTTTTAGTTTCGCTTAAACTTTATTCTCCGATTTAATTGATACTCTTTTTAAATTCCTTTCCAGTGGTGCCCCCCCCCCCCCCATGTTGTTTCATGTGATCAGATGTTACCAAATATATTAAAATTCTATATTAAAAAAGTAAAATTATTACAGTGTATTACGCTTCTTTTTAAAAAGAATTGTGGCCGAGAAGCCGGAAATATTTAGTCTTGAAGCTTGTAGATCATAAAGTCTTTGTCTGATGAACACCCTAAGAAAAGTTTTATTCTGTGTACACTCACTTAGTCCTGTAGTTGGGTGTACAAAAAAAACTTTTTTTGGGGGTGGCCATTTTCTCATTGACTTGCTCTTCTACAAGTTTCATCTTTCCTCCTACCTTAACTTAGTTGTAACTTTGGTGTGAAATTTGTACTTTTCAGTTCCTCAAAATACTTGGCATTAGTATCCCACATAGTGGGATTCACGCTTATTATTTTTCTACGTAAAAAATCTGGATTCAAAGAATCATTTTCTATCTTTTATACGCAAAACTAAACACTAAAGTATCATATATACATATATATACACAACGTTTAGTTATATAGTTGGCTTAGTGTTAAACTAAATTTTTTAGAAAAAATACAAAAAAAAATCAAAACTAACATGCAGCGCTTTAAATGTATAAAATGTATATTTCACTTACTTGTGATCCACAACCAAACCTTGTGGTTTGCGAAGCCTCCCTTTAAGGTTTGTGTTGTGGATAAAAACAGGAAGGAATTGTGAACCGTCGCCTCGCTGAAAGACAATATATACCAACGAATATAGTAAATTTAACCTAGGATTGTTGCTACATGGATAGGCCTCAGTTCAAAAGGAGATTTTAAGCAACAATCCTAAAAAACTTGGATCAGGGTATTTATTGCAGATTATAAGCAATGCAAAATAAATTTTCCTCAAATTTGAAAAAGATATATATCTAGAAATCACTTTCAGGTGCTTGACCTCCATGTTTCGTTACAAGTTCTACTGAATAATATCTAATCAAGATATTATTTAGAATTGGTACAAAATATTAAATATATAATCAATGTGTATGTTTAGTAAGAACACAGGGCCCAATCTCAGATATAAATCATTCTGGTTTATTTATATATATATAATTATATATATGTTACAAAATGCTTAGGTTTGGCCCTAGTTCTCTTAATCTCCAGTTTACATATATATAATATATATATTAATATATCTACTTGTATATGAGAGAACACAAATTAGTCCTAACATGTTCCCAAATCCAACATGTTTTGCATTTAATTCAGAATTATTTTCCTTTTGTTGGATGGGAACAGGGTTAAAACTTGCCACTTGTTGGCGGGCTATCTCTTTTTTTTGCAAATTTACTGTTAACCCTTTATTACAAAAAGAATGAAAGTATATCATTACCTCAAAATTGCCAGAAATATAAAACTGCCATCTCTGCTTCTAAAACAAAATTTTTAAATTTTTAAATTTGCAATAGATAGTATTTTTGATTTTAATCATTGATATAAAGATAAAAATCAAACATAAAATTGAGGTCAAATACCATTTTTCAATTAAACCGTGGTTGGAAGGGTGGGATTATGCCCCCCCCTTGTAAACTATAAAATTGCTTGTAAATCTGACACCTCTATAGATTGTTGTGTACTGTGCTAGTCTATTCCACTAACCAAGTCCATCTTGTCGTTATATTGGCCAAATCTTGTTGATACCATTCGTTTGCTCAGTCTCCCAACCCTAGCATATATTTATCCAAACTTGTAAATTTAGTCCCTTGTTGTGATACTTTTCTTTATTTGTGTTCCAGAATATGTTCATTCTTGTGAAATCTATCAGAATGTTTTTATTCTGGTTTTATCTGATCAGAATATGTTTTTTCTGGTCTTATCAACCAAAAGTATGTTGATCTGATATTTACCAGAATATGTTTGTTCTGAACATTTTCCAGAATATTTAAATTCTGATATATCTACCAGAAAATTCGTGTGATAAATCTACCAGAATATTTGTGTTCTGATATATCAACCAGATTATTTGTGTTCTGACATATCTACCAGATATTTGTTTTCTGATATATCTACCAGATTATTTGTATTCTAGTATATCTACCAGAATATTTGTACTCTGATATATTTACCAGAATATTAGTACTCTGATATATTTACCAGAATATTAGTACTCTGATATATTTACCAGAAAGAATGGATGGTTTAATTACTTGGTAATCAACTATAATCATTACCGTATATAATATACATATGCTTGTAGTACATGGATATAAATAAAATCCCAGTTTATTAAATCATTTTTTTTTATCAGACAGAGAAAACAGAAATAGCGAAGAAATCATCCTTATTATTTAAACTTCCCGCATTTTCGGTTTGTGTCACTGTTGTCTTAGAGCAAATCTAAATTAAAGTCATTTATTACAGTGTGGGTCACATTTACTCACATTTTAAAGTAACCAAGTATGATAAGCGGGGGAAGGCCGGCGGCCATGAGCCACCACTATTTCCCCTTCCGTGCCACATATTAGCTTTTTTCTCTTCCGGCAGCCATGAGCCACCACTATTTCCCCTTCCGTACCACCACATTTGATTCTTCCGGGCAAAACTACTTTTTTAAATGGTATATTTAGGGCCTTTAAAGTGTGAGTTTAAAAAATCCAGCCGCGTCACTCAAAAAAGCACAACTCAAACCATTTTTTCAATTCTACTTAAGATTAATATTTTGTGTGTTGAATTCTTAAACTGTTTTACAATGAAATTTTTGACAAATTTGACTGAGTATTTCATCTTGAAATATCACAAAGTTGGTTAATGAGTGATTTTAAAATGGATTTAGTATAATGAGTCAGTAATTGAATAATCATTAGACTTTGTGATATTTCAAGATGCAATACTCAGTCAAATTTGTCAAAATTTCATTGTAAAACAGTTTAAGAATTCAACACACAAAAGATTAATCTTAAGTAGAATTGAAAAAATGGTCTGAGTTGTGCTTTTTTTGTGACGCGGCTGGATTTTTTAAAATCAGACTTTAAAGGCCCTAAATATACCATTTAAAAAAGTAGTTTTGCCCGGAAGAGTCAAATGTGGTGGTACGGAAGGGGAAATAGTGGTGGCTCATGGCTGCCGGAAGAGAAAAAAGCTAATATGTGGCACGGAAGGGGAAATAGTTGTGGCTCATGGCCGCCTGCCTTCCTCCGCTCGTATGATTTCAAGCTCTATTTTAGAATACGGTAGAATATATAATATCAGTAAATAGACCTTTATTTTATGTAAAATGTTTAGATCTTATTTTCATGTTTATTGGGACACATTGTATATCTACATACAGTCGGTGTCTTATATATTAATACAATGAAGATGATTAAAAATTTTCTATCAAGCTTTCAAACAAGATTGAAATAAATAAAAGCTGTCAATCAGCAGTTTCTCTTTGCTTAATTGTTAACTTGTAATCTAAAAAAAAAATTGAAAAGATAAGTCGTCTTCATTGTATTGATGTTAACGCAGACCACTGTAGTTGATCCTCATTTGGGATTTCTCTTGTTGAAAAAATAGAGTTTTGTATTTTAATGTTTTCTATGAGAGAAGGTAATTTGGTGCAAGAGGAGCCTGACAATGTTGCTAAATTCTTCCACTAAATACCTAACAAATAGAAGAGATCATTAATAAGGGCGTATACAGGGGGGGGGGCATCCTCAGGAACTTTTTTAACAATAAAGGAAAACGTTGAGGAGGCTTAAATGAAACTCTGAGACGTTTAGGTCTGGTAAAATTGTATGCCTAAAAATATGTAAAAGGATAGAAATTGAATTCTATCGAATTCCCAGGGTGAAAAAAATCCATTTCTTTTATCATCTTCGAAAAGAAAGGAAAGAATTTTTTTTCATTGCTGACATATGATGTGACTCACCCTGTCCGTGACTTGTAGTGTGTAGATGAAGAGTAGTTGAGCAGTAGAGACTTAGTTTAATTTATCTATTTAATTCTAGATAAGGAGGCGAGTGATACTGTACACTGCAGTACATTCATTACATTTAAACATTTAGCTCTGCACCAGTACAGCGCAGGATACAGAGGAGGGGAGGGGGGGGAGTAGGAGGGGAGGGAGTTGGAAGCAGGGGAGATATGAGTTTGGGTAGGGTGAGGATAAAGAGGTTGGAGTAGGAAGAGGAGTTAGGGTTAGATTAGGAGATAGGGAGAGGAGATAAGGGTTGGAATAGGGAGAGGATATAGAGGTTGGGGTAGGAAGAGGAGTCGGGGTTGGAGTAGGAAGAGAGTTGGGTTTGAAGTAGGGAGAGTATATAGGGGTTTGAGTAGGGAGAGTATATAGGGGTTGGAGTAGGGAGAGTATATAGGGGTTGGAGTAGGGAGAGTATAAAGGGGTTGGAGTAGGAGGAGGAGATAGGAGATATAATAAAGATCAGACTTTAATGACAACAAAAAATCAATTATTTTAAACAATAAAAAAGATGAATTTTGTATTTTGCTTTGAATATAGCTTAAATATTATAAATGTAAGACTAGAAGTAAAAGGTCTGAATTAATTCCGTACAGTCGTTTCTGAAGTCTCATCTTTTGTGGGTAACCCTATATATAGCATGCACGAAAAAACAGACAGAGATAGATTGATAGATAGATACTAGAGCAGATAGATTATATTTTGAATTCAGATGCATTACGTGTCTAGGGATGGGGGAGATTTCGTATTCAGTCTGCCAGGGGGATTTTTGTTTTTACAAAAACAGAAATATTGATCCAACAATTTTTAAGTTTTTGAAATATAGGAGATTCCCTGACGATGGATTTGTTAGAATTTGGGAGGAAGGGGGAGGGGGGGAGCATGATGTCAAACAAAGATATTTACATTTGTTCTTTTCTTTTTAACATTGATGGTTAATTTCCTATTCATAACTATTGATAAATATTTATTCTCTATTTTTACAGTTTTCATTAGTTTTTTTTTCAATAAATTATCTAGATGCAGTTCAAATCTATATCTATATATAATTTGCTTGTCTGTTTGTTTGTAACGGATAAATGTCAAAATTGCTGAAACGATCAGGTCCACATTTTTGGTCTCCAAAAATTTTTGATTTTTGTAAAATTTTTAAAATC